GCAATGCGGAAGCCAATTGCCATAATTAAAAAAAGAGGAAGACGTTCATCAAATAAGGTTAAGGTCGCAGAAAAGTTAATCCCCTCTAAAACTGCCAACGGTGCCAGCAAAACCTGCGGAAATAATACCTTTCTGTGCAAATTAATTAGCTCCCAATCGGCCTCTTGATAAGTGCATTCTTACTATGGAGGGTAGAAGTAAGGAGCGCCATCTTGTAGGGACCTGTTGATAAAGTGTCCGTCTGTGAACAGCGGGTTGTTGCTGGAAGACTCACCGACATAGCGCTAGTGTAGAGAGTGGAAATTATATGAATATAACAGTTTTAAACAAAGTGAAGTTAAGTGTGGCAGTTGATGGTGCTTATGTTATGGTTTTTGAAATCTTTCCACTTGCTACAGTGGCGCCACCTTAATTAGCTCCCTTTCAGCGGAAACTTTAATACACTGAGATGGCACTCCTTACTTTCTATCCTTTATAATTCTGCCGATGTTACTGCTGTACCTAGAACCCAGTAATAATAGAACCTCTTGTCGCAAGCCCCATCGAACTCCGCTTGGCCTTGGCTCTTGGACCCACTAGCCAAGCGGCATTGGTCTAACGATGTCTATGGATCCCAGTTAGCAACCCTACTCACGTCCACAGAATTAGTTCAGTATATAAATAAAAAATATATATCGTATAACATTTTTCATAACATTGTATTTATCCGATTTCTGAAGACTTTATCTGAAGTGGTTTACGGCCTACCTTATAGCTTATAGCTAGCTCGTAATGATAAGATTAATATCATTATACGCTTTACGTGTGCAAGATACATTAAATACTTCAAAGATTTTTTATTTTTATTTCATCGTAAACATCCAAGATCAGGTGTACAAAATTCCTTTGCCAAAACCAAAGGAGCCAAAACAAAATGCCGATTCTTAGATATCTGAAAAATTATTAACTTTCCAATAAGGCCGCTTCGCCATTCTCACTCATCCTGATAGAAACACAACGAACTACCAATAACCCTGTACATTATCTACACGACGACATCTTTCACGGTAATTCTCAGACTCCAAGATACGCGATTAATTTGAGAACTATACGCACGTGTCAAGTACCGACCATTTCGACAAAGCGGCACGACACGAATTTATTGAATTAGCGTTCTGACGCTTCCTTATGACACTTACGTATCGGTACTATATTTAGGGTTATCAGAAGTGAGTACTGCCACTGCCCGTCTTCATATCTTTAGACGCGACTTAACATAATCTACCATATTTGTTTTAAGAATTTAGCGACGTTTTTCGAGCCGCCGATAATAATCCGAAGATAAGCCTTGCCATCTTCCAATAAAAACAACTTAAAAAATAAATCTTTTTATATATTTTTTTATCTAATCGGCGACTAGCAAATATTAAATATGGCCTTGGTTAATGGTTGCATACGGGATTACTGTTTAAATGTTATTTACGTCTCGTTTTAACGTAAAATACGAATATTAAGTACTAGCGGCCCGCTCCGGCTCCGCTCGGGTCTTTAACAAAAAATTCAACGATATTTGACGTTGTTTTATTTTTTTAAATAAAAGAACACTTATTGCGGCATAACTATAATAGTTAGACATATGCGTTCGCGACACTTTTTGTAAATAATAATGTGTTCTACAAAGTCGTAGTACATTATTTTATTCTATCATCAATAGTTTTCGCAGGGCACGCGATGTAAATAATATTTTAGGTAATTTCTTACACCTTGGATTACATTATTGGAGCTTTAGTAAAGCTCCCTAATTTTTTTCAAAAAAGATTGTAGCTTATGTCATTCGGGAATAGTGTAGCTTCGAAACAGTGAAAGAATTTTTCAAATCGGCTTAGTAGTTTCGGAGCCTATCCAATACAAACAAACAAATCTTTCCTCTTCATAATATTAGTATAAGTATACTTAGTCAGGCCATAAATACTGTTACAATTAAAAATAAACAAAATATTACATTTGAATTTGGAATCTGTCATTTTTATATGATTGCTCATTGAGTTTTCTCATTTTGGCGCCAATAAAATGTACAATATTTTGCGATATTGGTGTACGAAAAAGGTGGTCAAAGCAGTAAGGGAAAGAATTCGAAGAAATCCTGTCCGAAAGCAAAATATTTTATCTCGGGAGATGAAGATAGCACCTACAACCATGTCGCGTATTTTAAAAGATGACTTAGGACTTGCAGCCTATAAGAGACGTACTGGTCATTTCTTAACTGATAATTTAAAAGAGAATAGGGTGGTAAAATCGAAACAACTACTGAAGCGGTACGCAAAGGGAGGTCATAGAAAATTTTTGTTTACAGATGAGAATTTTTTTACAATTGAGCAACATTTTAACAATAGAAATGACCGTATTTATGCTCAAAGCTCTAAGGAAGCTTCCCAATTAGTCGACAGAGTGCAACGTGGGCACTATCCGACTTCAGTGATGGTTTGATTAGCTATGAAGGAGTGACTGGGCCATACTTTTGTGAAAAAGGTATCAAAACATCGGCACAAGTGTATCGAGATACCATTCTTGAGAAGGTAGTGAAGAATGCTCTTAAAAATTATTTTATTTACTGTTGGCAGGGCGTCTTGTTAGTCCGCCAGGGTAGGTATCACCTCTAGCTAATGTTTCTTTTCCATTCTCTTCTATTAGCCGTCATCTCAACAGTCACTCCTCTCTCTCTCATATCGTCATTCACACATTCCATCCATGTCTTCTTCGGTCGATGTCTTCCCCCTCTACCTTGCACTACCATTTCCATACATCTCCTAGTCACATGCATCTTCTCTCTACGCATCACATGTCCATACCACGCTAACCGTCCGCTCTTTAATTTGTTAATTACCGGGGCTACTTCCACACTTCCTCTGATATACTCATTCTCTATCTTGTCCATTCTTGTCACTCCACACATCCATCTCAACGCTTGCATCTCTGCCGCGTGCACTCTCCTCTTTCATGCTTTACTTTCGTCGCCCAACATTCAAATCCATACAGCACGATAGGTCTAATGATCGTTTTGTAAATTTTTCCCTTTGGTAGATACCACCGCCCTGCCTATTTCTGCTGTGAAGCAGTAACGAGTTTCGGTTTGAAGGGCGGGGCAGACGTTGCAACTATACTAAGACCTTAGAACTCATATCTCGAGGTGGGTGGCGACACTAACGTCGTACATGTCTATGGGCTCCGGTAACCACTTACCATCAGGTGGACCACTTAACATCAGGTGGTACTGTAAAAACTGAGTCCTTAAAACTCAGTGGGCTGACGTCATTACTTTGATTTTTTTATTACTTAGATGCGTGGACGAGCTCACAGCTTACCTGGTGTTAAGTGGTTACTGGAGCCCATAGACATCTACAATGTAAATACGCCACCCACCTTGAGACATAAGTTCTAAGGTCTCAAGTATAGTTACAGTTACAACGGCTGCCCCACCCTTCAAACCGAAACGCATTACTGCTTCACGGCAGAAATAGGCAGGGCGGTGGTACCACCAGTAAATCGATGAACACTAGATGCACTAAAAAGTGTCACGTTCCGCCTGTGCGTGCAAGTGAGAACGCGGAACAAGCGATAGTGAGGCACGATCGGCCCAAGCGTTGCCTTGTGACCGCGCGGACTCACAAGAGGTCCTACCACCAGTAAAACACTAAAACCAGTAAAACCACCAGTTTCCTAGTCGACCACTTCGAAGAGTTCGACGAGTACTGTTACCAGGGTAACTTAACAAGATATCGGTAATCATAAGATATTTCTGGCATGAAAACATTGGTTAGTCGCGAGGCACTTGCAGTATGATGATGGTACCATGACGAAAACATCTCTCAGAGCTCCGTTAACAACAAAAGCAAGTTTCTTATCAATCGGCTCAGGGACGCGTGCAGCGTGCTTATTGCGAGTTTTTAACTGACTTCAAAAAAAGAGGAGGTTCTTCTCAATTCGACTGTATGTTTTTTTTTAAACTTGTTACCTCATAACTTTTGACTGGGTGAATCGATTTTGATGATTCTTTATTTATTAGAAAGCTGACGCTTTCCGTGTGGTCCCATTTCAATTTAGTCCAGTTCTCATAATGGCATCCATGAGAAAACCATATGTCTTAAATTTGCCTTAAGTACGTGCGCGAACAAACCAGTAGTAAACATCCAGGAGTTTATTGATGGTAATCAAGCGGACAGACAGTATAATAATATTAAATAGGAACTTAAAGTACAGCGTGCAGAACGTGCGACATCACCGAAAGAAAATGGAAGAGCTTTTTTTTTGTCCTACCTAAGCTGATGGTCTTGAGAGACCATTTCAGCGTAACCCTAACAAGTAGGTGAGCTCACGGAGCTCAAACCTGACGACGTTGCCAACACTAACCCTAACAAGAGCAGTGCTTCGCAGAATCTACCACCGGATCGGAAACGCGACCCACTGAGAAGATCCGGCGAGAAACTCAGTGGGCTGTGTCTGAGGGTTAATTTACTAGTCCAGCCCTTCGTCGCAAGCGGCGGGTTCGACGAGAACGGTGACCGGTGCTTTAGTGGATCGGGTGGATCCGAAATGACGTGTGTAGGGCGACGTCGACTGTTTACCATTCTGTCCGCAGGATCGGGAATGTAGTTATCGGCGGCCACGATGAGAGGGTTCTCGTGTCGTGCTGCTTTATCGAAATGGCGCATTGATGCCGACTGTAGATACTTACTGATGGACTCTAGGTCCTTATCGTCGAGGAGGTCCACGTTAAGGATAAAACATGGGGCTCCGGTGCGGCTGCTATCCTGCAACGGGACTTTGTAGGAATTTATCTACCTGTTTATAGAAGGGTTATCTGTATACGGTTAATATTCGTAGCCTTGCTAAAATCGACGGACCGCTATTCGTTTTATAAGTTTCATAATAACGCTATTACTCATTTATTTATCTGAAAACACGTCACTGAATTCGCGTTATTTAAGCGAACACACATCTTGTATACTCTTTCGTTTGTCTGCCGCAGTTGAAAGTGTCGAACGAAACCGCTCACTGCTCACTCGCGCCGCGGACTCCGACGATGGCTGTTGTGCATCAAATTAGGACTAACGGTATATTTTTATTGTTATTTTCGTTGATAATAACGTGTGCCGCGTCACCGCCATGGATATTATCAGTGTCGGTCAATAATTATACGTGTTCTGATGTGTGTGTGTACGATATTAGCGTGGACTCTTTAAATGAATGGTCGTTAACCTACAAATACGTGCCGCGCGGTGATCTTTGCGAGACAGTTGTGTCTGAAAGTGCGAAGTACTCGAAGAATATTATCGTCGAAGTGCCGAAAACGATCGAGAAGGTTTACTTCTGCGTTAAAAGTGCAGACGGGGTTTGGTTAAGTCAAGGAGACGAAGTATTTTTAGACAAGAATGACGTCATACGAACAGAGTCAAAACGGTGAGTGAATACGAGAAATATTTTGTTTTTTTGTGTTGTCGTAAAAATTACCCAAATATGTGTTATATATTATGTTTGNATTATCGTCGAAGTGCCGAAAACGATCGAGAAGGTTTACTTCTGCGTTAAAAGTGCAGACGGGGTTTGGTTAAGTCAAGGAGACGAAGTATTTTTAGACAAGAATGACGTCATACGAACAGAGTCAAAACGGTGAGTGAATACGAGAAATATTTTGTTTTTTTGTGTTGTCGTAAAAATTACCCAAATATGTGTTATATTATGTTTGTTGCGTAATTCTTATAATTATTAACTTTATCAAGATTACTTTGTATCTAATCGTGTGAATTTCAAAAAGAAATACTCATTTGTTTTTTGTTTTTTTCTACCACAATTATGTAGATACCCGCAGGTTTCAAGTATGTAAGGACTTTGACAAATTTAATTTACGTAATAAGTAAATTAATAAACTGATCGTGTTTACATTGTAACTATGATAACAATTTTATTCGGTTAATTGACCTCTACCGAGTCGCCTAATGGAGTTCCTCACAAAGTAAATATTACCTTGCGTAATCATCGAATGTATACACATAATAATGTATGTATACTGTATATACGCGATCAAAATTATGCGTGAAAAGGAACGGACGCCAACGATGCAAAAAAAACTTTGGCGCCAATTCGGCGTATTTTTTTCTTTCATTCTCATATGACAATTTCAATTCATTAGATCATAATATGGCCGTGAATACTCTTAAACTCGCACTAATAAGTTATTAAAATGATTAAGTCCGATTTAGCGGGAGTCTAACTAACCATAATTTTTTTTAATAACTAAGTATTTGTTATCACAGTCGACATACTTGTTACAGCTGAGCCACCCACTCTCTACGTGATTAGATATATGTGCTAGTGTGTAAACGGTCGCTTATCGCTGTCGATGATCGCTTATCATCAGGTGGGTCTGTCGTCTGACTCTGACAAGGCAAACGAAATACATGTAATTTCTGTTCTAATTTATATAAATAAATAAAATTGGAGTGTCTGTTTGTAATAATAAAATAACCACTTTTTATGAAATGCGTAAGTATTGTATACCACAGTACATATACCAAAATCTTATTTTTTTATTTTTGTCTGCTGTTTTCACCGGCTAAACTCTGGAACGGCTAGACCGATTTTGACGAGACTTTCACTGATAGGTAGCTGATGATGTAAGGAGTAACTTACGCTACTTTTTTTAGACCAGCTTCGCCCCGCGGCGTTACCCGCGGTGCGATAATAACCGCAGGTAACGTCGCGGGACTCAGTTGTCAATAATTAAATTTAATATTTCCGAAGCGAAGCGAGGGTGGGTCGCTAGTATTAGCTAAGACGAGTAGATCCAAATCATTTACTAAAAGCACTGCCAAATATTATGTGTTATTAATTTAAAAATATAAGTTGACAACCTTGGCCAATGTATTGACATTAATACTGAGGGGAGGCGCAGTCCCGTTTCTTGTTTTCTACTCATGCTGATAGCCTTGAGAGGCTATATCAGCGTTACCCTAGCGTGTAGGTGAGCTCACGGGGCTCAAACCGGAGGTGCTGTTAACATTGGCCCTAGCAAGAGCTTTAAAATATAATAATTTTTAATGCAAAACCGGCCTATCCATAGTTTCACTCATAGATAACAGATGGCTTTGTAAACTTTTTTTTTTGCGCGTATTGTTTTTTGCCTAACTAAAATTTAAATTCATGAAAACTTAAACCTCTCTCTCTCTCTCTCTTCGATCGGTTCCTCACTGCTGAGGATCGTGACTCCGTCCGATTTCGTCAACCAACTGTCTCTATCGATCCCGCCCTGCAGCCTATAAAATATAAAAATATAAATATTAAAAAAATATATATAAATATAACCTATAAACCTCATTGCTCCATAATAACTGGTAAGCTCAGGTCACTTTTGCGCTGACGGCCTCATTATGTAAGTGGTTTTGTTTGTCTGTACGAGTCGCGCCAAGAGAACTAAATACAGATTGAATACACATACCGTACCAGTAACGAATTATCATCATGTAATAGGTACTTTACTGGTGGTAGGGACGTCTTGTGAGTCCGCACGGGTAGGGACCATCGCCCTTGCCTATTTCTGCCGTGAAGCAGTCATGTCTGCAATAACAAAAGTTTATTGTCAAACTTTTGTTATTGTTTAAAGTCTGTGGTCATATTGAGAAGAAATAAAAATATATTGTTTGTCTTTAATATTATTTGTCTATAGTATAGTCGTGGCGAAATCTGTGATTATAGTCTATTCTTAATAATAGTCTTTGACAATAGAGCCTTAATAATGTTCGAAATTATAATTTCAATTAGTTATGGTCGAATTTCGACTACTGGGGTACTACTAGTGTATTTAGTTGCACCAACAAAGTGATCATCAATACAAACCATTGACAAATCGACAATAAGTACATGACAGATGTCACCTCAATTATAGGAGCAATCGACAGTACAATAGTCGACGACATCTTAAAATTAGAAAATACAATGAGTAATTTTAAGAAATATGAAATTCAGAATAATACTTTGTCACTAATTCACTCTTTATCCTTTTTTATATTCGCTTCAAAAATAAAAAATAATGGCTCAAAAGGATAGTAGTCGTAAACGTAGTTAACGGCAACAAAAAAAAAAGCATTAGGATAACAACGGTTTTATTTTTCCAAAGTGTTTGTTTATTTTTCGTAGCGCTATAAAATGTTCCATGCGTTTTTATAACCTTCAGCCGTTTGATGTTTGACGGGTGCATTGACTGATTTGCAAATTTTGCGTTGTGGTCGTTAAATTTAGATATTAATGTAATTTTTATTATACATTATTAAATCTGAAATTGGGTAATTATCTAAGAAACCGCGCGCTTCCGTAAAGTAGGACGATGTTTAAAGTTTTAAAGTGCCCAATATACAGACCCACGTGAAAAATCTCTAGTTGGCTTTAGAAGTGATTATTAAAAAAAAAACTTTAGAAAAGTTTGATTGATGGATTCACGTTAACGTATCCCTGTGCCTCACGGCTTGAATTGTTTTCATGTTGTTACGGTACAGGAAAAAAAACAATTTTTTTAGCGGATGTACGTCATATCTGTGATCCGTCAAACAGACAAGACAAGTAGGTATCTACGTAAATTGTGTCTACGCTTATTGGAGAATGGCCAATATTAAAAAAATGGTCGAAAGGTTTAAAAACCACATATTAACCGGTCATCGTTCTCGTCGAACCCGTCGCTTGTGACGAAGGACCCGACGAGTAAATTAACCCATAGACACAGTCCACTGAGTTTCACGCCGGATCTTCTCAATGGGTCGCGTTTCCGATCCGATGGTAGATTCTGCGAAGCACGGCTCTTGCTAGGGCTCGTGTTAGCAACGTCGTCAGGTTTGAGCCCCGTGAGCTCACTACACAAGCTCGGCGAATCTAGAATAACCCCTCGAGGTTACTAGAATAGGTAGGAAAAAAAGATCATATTAATTAAATCTTCCTACTAAAACTACTGATTAATGAATACCAAAATTCTAAGCTATAACTTTTCACTTTTATCGGCAGTTCCTATGACCGTAATTTTTTATTAATTCGCATTAGACCCAAGGTCTTTTTCCCAAAAACAGTTCTCCTACGTTTGCCGCTAGGGGCGCTGTTCCAACTCCATACAAATTTGAGTTAACTTTTACGCTATCGAGAACGTTAAAAAACTCTCACTCTAAGCTCACCGAATATAAACATAATATATTTGGTCGACACACAATTTTAGCGTTAACCAAAATAAACATTAACATTCGAATTAGTATATAAATAGGTTATAAAAGAATTTTATTTACTCAGTTCATTGCTATCCGCGTTTGCTTACCCGTGGTACACACAACAATTATCGGTATTTTGCATCAATATATCGTCTTCTCGCATTAAAACTGTATAATCTCAAAACTTACTAATTTTACAGGAGAGTGTTTTAAAGGTTTAACATGTAATATTTTTAATATTAATCATATTTGCAACATTATTTTTTTATTTTTTACCACTTGCATTATCTGTCTTTTAAAGTAAGATAAAATTGTGTATTAATTTTATTAATAGTAGTCAAAATATAGGAAAACTAAAAAAAAAAACTAAAACTAAACTACGCTCTTTTGACGGTATTTATGAGAAAAATACTGGTGATACCAAATGATTCCTCATATTAACTCAATTTAGAATATTTTTGAAAATTGTACACTTTGAATGCGAAAAGGCATTACATTATGCTTTTTATTTCTTTCTTTTATTTTAAAGAGGTTTTTCTCGATTTCGCGACGTCACCCACAAAGCTTACACAACTTTTTTTTAAACGCGTCACTTTATACCTACATCTACCAATTTATATAGCATTCTGGCTGCCCTCGACAAGGGGGAAGCCAAAATGCTACAATAGACACCTACATCTATCGCATACAAATTAAATTCAAACACAAAGCCATTACGTTCCGTTTCACTTCATACACACTCCTTCATTATGTTGTTTACATCTTCGACTATTCCACACTCTTCACAGTTCGGTGAATCGCAAAAGAGGAACAAAACTATATATTTTTGAAGTCGTCGTGGCCTAATGCGGGATTTACGTTCCGAATTTAGTGTCATGCATGTTGAGCTCAGTTTCACGAAAGTAGTTTCGATATATGCGAAAGTAATTTCGTTAAAAAATTAGTCGCGAAATCGCACAGTATCGTAGTAACCATGGCGCCTTCAGCATCAAAGCTATAATTTGCTATATTCAATGTAGCTAAAGAAATGCTTATAAATATACCTATAAACTTAAAAAAAGACTATCAAGAAAAAAAAGACGTTGGTAGATTCGGGGATGGTCAACAAGAAGGCATTTAGGTGCAATGAAGTTAGTCTCTGAATTAGCAGATGAAGATCCTGAGAGTTATAACTGTTTTCGAATAAGTGAAGATAATTTTGATTTTTTACTGTAGGTGTTTCGGGTCTCAGAGACACCCTTGTCGCTGATATTCATTAAGAAGATCTATATTTTTTTCTGTACTCCATCGTTGGTTTGCCATTTTCAACGCTTGAAGGCCGTCCGAACTAACAATACATACGTCCGCACAGCGCAAGCCCTTTCGCGACATTAGTTTCACGTCGCGTCTACACTATGAAATTAGTTGCATGACACTAATTTCACCAAA